AGACAGGGAGAGGTCCCATGGCGGCCAAGAGACTGGAGGCCGTGTGGGGAGGAGGATCGCCTGCTGCGGAGGGCCACACTTACCTGTTTCCGCTGCGGCCAGCCGGGGCACTTCACGCGGGGATACCAAAGCTTACTTCGGGCCCCGATGATATCTCCAGCACCCCCAGCTCGGTCAACGGATGCATCCCAACCCCAACAGGCGAGTCGTGACACAACAGACACCCGGCCCATTTTGCAAACTGAGGCATCTAGGCTTCCAAGAGTCATCTCCTCCCCGCATCGCACTCGTATTGCCGCCGGGCGGCAGGGGCTAGTCACACAGGGGTGGCCTAGCTCGGGGACACAGTGGAGGAAATTGGCACGTCGGGTGATCGAGGCCGCTGCGGGTTCCTCGGCGCTGTCGGGCTCTATCCAGGGAATTGAGGTGCGTGTTTTGGTGGACGCAGGTGCTTCCACCATTATATCGGATTACATTTTTGACCTGTTGCCAATGAGGAACTAGCTTGTTAGGCAGTAGTAAACGCGTGCATCATGGCGAATGGTGGTAGTATGAGGATTATAGGGCAAGTGGAGGCCCGGTCGAGATTGGGGAGATCGCAGTTGTTGGGCTGGTACTGATCTCGAGGACGCTGTTGATGCCCTGCCTTTAAGGCATGGATTTTTTTGTAAGATGCCCTATAGATCCTCATCAATCAGGGCTGTGTGGAGATGCCGTCGGGTGCAAACTATTTTTCTTGCAGTCCCAACTCAAAAGTACTGTGGCAAATGTTACAGTCCAGGCCCTTGCCAGGGATCGCAGATGTTGGTGCCGCTGCGCTATTGCAAGCTGTTACAGGTAGCGGATCCAGAATCAGGCGTCTTGTTGACTCCGTCTAACGCGGTGACTCGGAGGTTGGCGATGCTCGGCGTACAGTCAGCAGCCTTAACCAGGAGCTGTTCTTGCAGGTGCTCAATGCGGGCCTGGAGACGGCTGTGGTTCAGGCGGGAATGGTGTTGGCTCACGCGATAGCCGCGTTTCACGAGGGTAATGGAATTGTGCGCGACAGGATTGTTGGCGCGGTGGATAAAAATGTTGCATTGGATGAGACTTAGGCAGAGGTTTTGTGTCAAGAAAACCCGTTGTCTCCGGTGCAGCAGGAGGAATTACGATCGCTGCTGCGCAAGTTTTCGGATGTGTTCAGTAAAAGTAAGTTTGATATTGGCTGTACCTCCCTGTTGCAACACCACATTGATACAGAGGAGGCCGGCCCCATTCGTCAGAACCCGTATCGACTGAGTCCTCTAGAGAAGGAACATGTGCAGGAAGCGGTGGATGAGACGTTAGCCGCCGATATTATTTCTCCTTCTACCAGCCCTTGGGGAGCGCACATAGTGCTTGTTAAGAAACATTATGGCAATCTTAGGTTTTGTGTAGCCTTTCATAACTTGAATAAGGTCTCGATGACAAAAGCGTACCCACTTCCACGCATGGACGACTCACTGGACGCATTGTATGGTGCGCGTTTTTTGTCTGCGCTCAACTTGTTATAGGGGTTTTGGCAACATTCCCTCGAAGAGTCATCGAAACCTAAAACCGCATTCCATACGCCCCTGGGACTCTTACAATTTAACTGCCTTCCGATGGGATTGCACTTGGCCTCGGCCACCTTTCAGCGGTTGATGGAACTCGTTTTGGTTGGACTGCAATGGGACTCCTGCCTCATTTATTTAGATCACATTATTGTGTTTAGCCGCACTTTTGAAGAACACCTCCAGTGACTGCAATCTGTACTTGTTCGGATGTGATCGGCTAATCTGAAATTGAAGCTCACTAAATGTAATTTTCTGTAGAACTCCATGCGTTACTTGGGCCACATTGTTAGTGCAAATGGTGTGGCCATGGATCCCGAAAAACGGCGTGTATATGGGACTGGCTGACCCCCAAGTCCGTGGAGTTCCGCAGTTTTGTTGGGTTTGCATTGTATTATAGCAGATTTGTGCGACAGTTTGCTACGGTGGCTAAGTCGCTACACAATTTGATAGCTAAGAACCAGAGATTAAAGTTGGGGGTGGAGGAAAAGGCTGCGTTTATAGACCTTCGTGAATGCCTGGCTGACGTGCCGCCACTTGATTACCCATATTTCTCCCTGCCATTTGTGCTTGACACAGACGCTAGCGACACGGGTATAGGAGCTGTCCTTTCCCAGGTTAAGAACGGAGTGGAGAGGGTAGTCGCGTATGGTAGCCGCGTCTTGTCCACTGCTGAACAGTGTTACTGTGTCACCCGTAGGGAACTGTTGGCCATGATATACTTTATACAACAGTATAGGCCTTATCTTTATGGCAGAGAATTTGTAGTTCACACAGATTATGCAGCCCTTCGGTATTCCCTCAGAGTGAACCAGCCCTCTGGGCAGCTCTCGCGTTGGCTGGAGATTCTCCAGACGTACTCGTTCCAAGTGATATATCGTAAAGGGGTACGAAATTGTAACATGGATGCGTTATCCTGTTTGCCCCAAGGGACTGGTTGTACGTGTGCGTCTGGCGCGGGTCATTGTAAACCTCCGGCGGCGAGGCCTACAGCCGTCATGGTGGCACTTGAGGGAGTAGAGCCCGCCGAGATCGTGCCGGGGGACAGTATTTTGCACCTTATGCGTAATGAGTGGGGAAGATTGCAAATGGAAGACGTGTCCCTTATCACCTTGCGGCATCAGCAGAAGCGGGACGCAAGGAGTCTGCTCCCTCCGACGGCCCGCGACCGGTCCTAAGGGAGGGTCTTTTGATGTTGGACGAGGATAGGTTGCACCGTCATCGCATTGTGGATCCTACTGCCCTCTGGGGCAAGCTGACTCAGGTAGTGCACGAGGATAAGTTCTTACATCTCGGAGTGCGAAAAACGTTGCTAACATTGCAATGTGATTATTATTGGCCTGGGATGTCGTGCGACGTGTACCACTTCATTCAAGGTAGGAAACCGCCGCTGAGGAAGTCCCAGCAGTATATCTCGGTTATGCAAATTAATGAGTTGGTCACACTCGACATCCTCGGGCCCTTTCCTACCACGCAGAGGGGGAACAAGTTTATCTTCATAGGCGTTAAGTATTTTTCACGATGGCCTATAGCCTGGCCGCTATTGCTGAGGCGTTTTTTCTGCCAACCAGTTGGCAGCCTCTTTTGCTGAGGCGTTTTTTCATGGATACGTATTGGATAAAGGTGCCCCCGAGCAGATTCTCAAGGATCAGGGACGACATTTCTCTTCTAAGCTGCTACAGGAAGTTTGTGATGCGCTAGGCACTTCGAACGTCCCCGTAATCACACCCAGATGGATGGGATGGTGGAATGGCTGCATAGGACCTTCACATCTATGCTCAGTCAGGCAGTTAGCACGGCCCAAACTGATTGGGATCTGCATATTTCGGGAGTGTTGGCCGCATACAGGGTGGCTCCTCACACTTCCACGGGCATTTTCGCCTTTTTTTTCTCATGTACGGGAGGGACAGTGAACCTCCTATGGAGGTTCAATTGGGTTTTTCTGAAAAAAAGGAAAACTCCAATTTGCCTGCGCCTTCAGAAATGTCTCTAGAACGTGTTTTAGCAGCTCGTGAGGTGGCAAAATTAAACACCGCCAAAGCACAGGTGGCTAACGAATGGAATGCGGGGCGGCGGGACCATGTGTTGTAGCGGGTTGTGGGGGATCGGGCATGCTTGCATTGCCCACAAGTGCCATTGGGAAAATCCCCTAAGCTGCATCGGCCATGGCAAGGTCCCGTGGAAGTGATCGAAGTCAAGCGGCCGCAGTGCGTGCGTATGCGAGTGGGCCATCGCCGTTGGTTTTTTCATCCGTCACAGTTGAAGCCTTATATTCCTCCTTCAACTGACACCTCATCTCCAAATTGTGTCTGTTGTGTCTGACGAGCTGGGGGAAACGCCAATGGAGAGCATGAGTCAGGAGGATTGTATTGTGCAGCCCACAGCTTCTGAACCCCTGAAGGTCGGCGGGGCCTGTGATCTCACTGAATGCAAGGAGTCACTTACTCCGACTGGGCCCACGACGCCTGTGAAGCCGGGAGTGGAACCGCCTTCTTCGAATTTTTGGGCGGAGCCCACATCTTCTGTGAAGAAGACGAAGATTGTCCCCATGGTAGGACTGGCATCGAGGACTCGGTCTAAATGTTTAAGAACATTCCGTTGTGTGTATGAGGAAAATTGGGGGGACTGCGCTCGCGTTTTATATAGAAAGGGATTTTTTTCCCTCTATGTTCCTCTTTTTGTCTCTCTTACATTCCTATGCTGCTGATTGAGTCCCTCCCTTTTCATTGCGAATCGTTCTGCCTTAAACAAATTTAGTTGGGTTAGTTATTCCAGTTCATGGTGGAATTTATTTCTGCCTCACGTGTGTTTTTTTTATTATTATTAGCCGGGACAGCTATCTTTTAAACATGGGGGGGGGGGTGATGTAATGACAGGGTGCCACCTGTCAGCCTGAAGAGGTAATCGCGGTTATGGGTATATTACGTAATGCCTAGTTATGAGGAGGGCAGATCTGGGGTAAAGGTGAGAGGCGGGGTTAGTTGGGAAGCTCCGGGAGCCTGCTTGAAGGTTCTGGAAGGGGGCATGGCCGGAGGCGGGGCTTGGCCACGCTGGGGCGTATATAAGGGAGACCGAACCAGAAGTTCGGTGCTGCCATTCGACGTCATCTCTCTTCGTCGTCCAGCCACGTGGCCGATCTTCTGCAAGGCCCTCATCGTCGCCGTCGCTGCGCTAATCAGACAGCTGTGTAGTTGGATGCCGACGATGGGGTTCTGTAGAAGGGTCGGCTATGTGTAGCTACGTAGAATGTTACATAGATGTATCGCCCAGTGTTGTGCTTAAAGTGTGAGAATAAATAAGCCTTCTACACGACGTGTCTCGGAAGTCGCTCACTACACATGTATACGTGCAATATGTATTAATGTATGAGCACTTTATAAAAGTAAACATGCCAAATGATGAATTCTGATGGTGTCAATAGTAACAAACCTGTATTAACAATCCCTATTTTCTGAAGCTCTCTGTAATTCAGCAACATAAATGAATGCCGTTCACCCTTCTTCTGGGAAGCAATTGACACGAGCTCTTCCTTGTAGACATTTCCAATTCCAAACGTGTAAATATCTAGAAGATGACAATGTTAGTAAAGAATGACAACAGACATCTGTAATTCGTAGCATGTGTACATTACATTTACCATAACAAGAATAAAAACTGCTTTACATTTCGATAGTTTTAATATTTTATAATTATGTTCGTGACAGAAATTATTACTATAATGAGGCAAGAATGTCTGTGTCCCACGCGTGACGTCACTCCAAGTTGGCCAGCCCCCTTCATTAATACTCATGAACAGGTGGCATCCTCCACATTGACCCCCCCCCCTCATTAATAATCATGAGCGGGTGACGTCACTCCACATGTAGTACATCCCCTCATTAAAAATCATGAGCAGGTGACGTCACTCCATGTCAAACAACCCCCCACATTAATAATCATGAAGAGGTGATGTCTTCCAAATGGACATCCCCCACCATTAATATTAATTAGCGGGTGACATCACTCCACATGGGGAGGCGAGGCGCCTCCTCCCCCCTCCTCAGCATCAACTTCAGATTTACTGAAATACACCCGTCCTTGGATGGGCGAAAGGCTATTAGTGAGATAATAGCTGATTTAAGTGTAGTAGAAAGAAAATACATAGCTGCCCTTGTGATATATAAACTATAGAAGATATTAGAGTAATGTGAGCTATAACAGAAGATGTCTACCATAGGCTGTAGACAGTTATAATAAACATAGTATGGGTGTATGTTGAGCGTCTTTTGCACCATACGTAACCAACCATGCTAATGTTAGCCATTTATGGTACCGGGAATTTAAGCGGCACACAGAGGTCGCACAATAACATTCAATTGATACAATTTCTCAAATTGAATTTAGTGCATAGAGAAGAGTTGTGAAAAATATTTTGTTTGTGATATAAGTCTTAAAAATACTGTTTTAAAAGGAATGTGTATAACAGTTTCGATTATTTGAACACATATAAATGGCATATTCAACACTTCTCCACATGACAATTTATTTGGGCTGTGTCGGGTGGTATAAGGCCTTATCACAGAAAATTGACCAGATCATTGAGGCCCAACCTAAGAATCAATCATGAATCAGAACATTGGCTGCATAAACCTACTACGCATTACAAGTAAATAAACACATAGTTTAGTGACAGTGCAATTTGTTTTCTCTGTATATATAGTGACATGTGTTTTAAGTTTAACGATATTCTTGTATATACTTATATTTAATTTGGATACTATAACATATTATTTTGTTGCATTTGTTATTTTATAGTTTCAATCATATTAAATTAGTGAAAGCATTAAAATAAAATGTATAGTTGGCATTTGTTTCCCCATTGTTGGGTCATTATGCCAGCGCACAATGATCGAGACTCATTATTGTTACCGATACTCTACCTGCTTGCCAGTAATGTGATTCATGTCATCTACAGTCTCTTACCCATGGGAATGTCCGCAAACTTCTCATTCATAACAATCTTGGGAGGTGGTCCCATATTGGAGCGGCCTTAAAAAGTACAACGTGACATTTTTTAAATAATCAAAACTACATACATTGGGTGACTATCATTGCATAACTGACCATTATTACACACTAATGTATTTAGCATTTTATATGTATATACATCTTCATGTTATTGGCAAAATATTTGTTTTGCTTTCTGGATGGCAGGGAGTAAAACGCATTTAAAGTAAACTTCTGTAAATTCCATGGAACACAAAAACAAACAACACAACGGACAATGACACAACAGGAAATCTTCTTTGGTTCTTTCGGTAAAGTCACGTAGAATGAGAATAAAATAATAAATTGATAAAATAAAATAACACAATAATATTCTCACGACGTTTCGGCCACAACACAAGCGGCCTTCATCAGGTGAAGGGACGAGAGTGTCTGGAGGACAGCGCTGGAGTGAAAAAGCCACACGCAGGCTTAAAGGTCGCGATCTGAGCGTGGCTTTTTCACTCCAGCGCTGTCCTCCAGACAGTCTCGTCCCTTCACCTGATGAAGGCCGCTTGTGTTGTGGCCGAAACGTCGTGAGAATATTATTGTGTTATTTTATTTTATCAATTTATTATTTTATTCTCATTCTACGTGACTTTACCGAAAGAACCAAAGAAGATGAATCCTTGCAGTCACGAAAGCTTTAAATCGAAATACAACAGGAAATGTTGGTATGGCCAGATTATAAACCATGACTGCAATATTACCAGCTCGCTTCTCTCGCTTGGCATCAGCCCCCTATGCCACACAACCTCCTAATTAACAAACAAAAATCTCCACACAGTCAATACCACTGTGGCCTTATATAATAGACGACGTTTTGAGTAATTGGCACTTATCCTTTGTATGTAAATATAGATGCTAAAAAGAGATAGAATGGATAATAAAATCGGAGATGTCAGATGTCTACACTTTCCAAAATGTTGTAGCATGAGCCTGCCATAGGCAGCATGTCATTCATGCTGCCAGTTTACCCTTCTCTTCTTCTATTTCCCTCTCACCACCTCTCAAATGCTCTATATTTATATCTTCAAAGCTTATTTCTCACTCCATACCCCTATCGTGCCATGTTTGCTCCTCTCTCAATAAATCTCTGCTGAGCCTCTCTCTGCTTCTCTCAGTCATACATCTCACAGATCTTAGTCCACACATCTGCTCCACGTGAACAACATTAACTCGTGTAATTGGCCGTCATATGACGGGTATATTCACGTCGTAAGCAATCCAGTGTTTCTTGACTATGTCGATTATGCCATCTCTGCTGTTTAATCGATGTCTTCTTTCATCTGCAGACTCTTTTGCATTCATCTGAATGAAATCTAAATTATGTATATGATGTGCCGAATGTAATGTACTCTGAGAGTAATTTATTGCAAACCTGAAAAAAATACAATTGTAAGTCACCTTTATCGTAGCATTATAAGAGCTGTTTGAGTTACCTTTCTATCAGGAAGAAAGTAAACGAAATGTTTCAATCAAAAGTTGGTTTTCTAAACTTTCATTTTCCTCGCCTGAGAGTGAATAAAAAATATAAACACTTGGTTCTCAACTTATGTTTGTTGCAAATATGCAATTGTTGTAGAAATGATGCGATTATTATAAGTATCGACTTACTAGATTATGTATTGATGTGAATACAAATTTTATTAACATTTATAAACTGGAAGGAAAGGTCACAGTTCACTAATTTTCAAAAATTTCGCAAAAAATGTGACAAGTCATTTTTACCAAAATGAATTTGCGCTCAGGTACAATAACTTACTGGATTCTGAATTTATGTAAATTTTGAAAAAGTTACTATTTATTATCAGTACGAGCAAAAGTAATCAGATCTCAGGCCACACATCTCCTGTGTGAACTGAGATCTGTTGAGTTGAAATTAAAAGTGATTCTGCTTCTTTATTTAAATTTATGTTCGATGTCCAACAAAAAAACTGTCACACGCAGTGTCAGCAAGTTGAGCAGGGCGGTTCAGACCTCCCTTTCCCTGGCGACAGACTCGAACTCTCCCTGAGGAATTTCCAGGCGTTCCCAGGCCAGCCGAGCGAGATAGTTCCGCCAGCGTGTCCTGGGCCAGCCCCGGGGTCTTCACTCAGTGGTACATGCCTGGTAAGTTCCAGGTGGAGTCTATTGGGGGGCATCCTTAACAGGTGCCCAAACTACGTCAACTGGCTCCTCTCAATCCAGAGCAGCAGCAGCAGCTTGACTTTGAGGCTTTCCAGTTTACCGAGCTCCTCACCCAATCACCGATGGTGAGCCCAGCAGCCCTGCGATAAACCTAATTTCGGCCCCTTGTACCCGCGATCTCATCCTTTCGGTCAGCTTCCAAAGCTCATGACCATTGGTGAGGGTGGAAATGTAGATCGACCTGTAAACTGATAGTTTTGTTCGAGAACTCAGCTCTCGCTTCACTACCATGGAACAGTACAGTTCCCGCAACGCTGATGATGCTGCACTGATCTGCCAGCCGACCTCCCGTTCCCACTTACCATCACTTGCAAAAGAGACCCCGAGGTACTTAAACTCCTCCACCAAGGCCAGCTGTCCCCCCTCACCTGGACAAAACAATCCACCATCTCACGGGAATGAACCAAGACCTCACATTTGGAGGTGCTGATCCTCATCCCAGCTGCTTCATACTCGGCATCAAACCGTTCAAGTGCACGCTGGAGATCACTGACTGACAAGGCAACGAGGACGTCATCTGCAAAAAGCAGCGACGCCACCTTCATGCCCCTGTACTGATATTCTCCATTCCTCGGCTGCGCCTTGATATCCTTTCTAGATTTAAAGCTTTCGTGACTGCAAGGATCCATACTCTTTAGTTGTATTCGGTAAAGTCACGTAGGTAAAAAATAAAACAACAAAAATCACGACGTTTCGGCCACAACACAAGTGGCCTTCATCAGGTGAAGGGACCAGGCTGTCTCGAGGACAGCGCTGGAGTAAAACACAGCCACGCTCAGACCGCGACCTTTAAACTGTGTGCGAGGAAACAAAGTGCCTTGACAAAGGAATTAGCATAAAAAATATCATTTGATTGGCCGAATTAGCATGATGAACGGTGTAGAGGTGATGTACATGTGGGGGCACATGCCGGTTGGCGCGGGGGGGGAGGGGGAGTTTACCTATTGATGGTGTGAAAAGGGAATTTTAAAGAGCTGCGAAAGTTTGGGGTACCACTACTTGAAAAATATACTGTACCATTGAAAATTAGTTTAATCTTTGGTTCGATTTAGAACATCTTTCCAATGGTTGCTTAATTTGAAACCATCTTCTCGGTTAAAATTGTGTCTGTATTTGTAGATTTGAATTGCCTCGTGAACAAATCTCTGATAAAAACCCGTGAGTTTGCAAAGAACCTTGGTATCGGAGAAAATTATATACAGCGTTGTAACAGTGATCAGCTACGGCAGAAGAATTCATTCTGCCGTGTCATTCCTGACTTACAGTACCCCGGGGTTTACAAATTGAGTTGTACCTGCGGTGATTGCTATATCGGGGAGACAAAGCGACATGTCTCTGACCGAATTCGCGAGCACAAATCAGATTTGAAACACGGCAGAACGAATTCTTCTGCCGTAGCTGATCACTGTTACAACGCTGTGGGTGATCACGATATAATTTTCTCCAATACCAAGGTCCTTTGCAAACCCACGGATTTTTATCAGAGATTTGTTCACGAGGCAATTCAGATCTACAAACACAGACACAATTTCAACCGAGAAGATGGTTTCAAATTAAGCAACCATTGGAAAGATGTTCTAAATCGAACCAAACATTAAACTAATTTTCAATGGTACAGTATATTTTTCAAGTAGTGGTACCCCAAACTTTCGCAGCTCTTAAAAATTCCCTTTTCACACCATCAATAGGTAAACTCCCCCTCCCCCCCTGCGCCAACCGGCATGTGCACCCGCATGTACACCACCTCTACACCGTTCATCATGCTAAGTCGGCCAATCAAATGCTAATTTTTATGCTAATTCCTTTGTCAAGGCACCTTGTTTCCTCGCACACAGCTTAAAGGTCGCGGTCTGAGCGTGGCTGTGTTTCATTCCAGCGCTGTCCTCGAGACAGCCTGGTCCCTTCACCTGATGAAGGCCATTTGTGTTGTGGCTGAAACGTCGTGATTTTTGTTATTTTATTTTTTACCTACGTGACTTTACCGAATTGACCCAAAGAGTATGGATCCTTGATATCCTGTCCATGAAAATTACAAACAGAAGTGGAGACAAGACACACCCTTGGCGGAGTCCAACACCCATGTATGTATTAATGTATGAGCATTCTTGCTGATTTACCAGCAAGAATACGGACACAGCTCTCACTCCGGAAATAGAGGGACTGGATAGCTCACAAAAACGTAATCGGTACATCATACTCCTGCAGTATCTCCCACAAGACATTGCTGGGAATATGACCATATGCTTTCTCGAAATCTACAATGCAGAGAAAGACTGGAGAAGCACACTCCCATGACCCCTCACATATCTGTGAGAGGGAAAAGAGCTGGTCCATTGTTTCACGACCATGACAAAAATCGCATTGTTCCTCCTGAATCTGATGCTCAACCACCAGGCAAAGCCTCTTCTCCAGCACTCTGGCATAGGCTTTACCTGGGACGCTGAGGTGTGTGATTCGTCTGTAGTTGGAATACACGCTCTAGTCCCCTTTTTTAAATTGGAACCACGACCTCAGTTTGCCAGTCCAAATGTACTGTACCCACCTTTCATGAACAATTGAAGAGGCGTGTTAACTATGACACTCCTACACTGTCCAGCGCTTTCAACAACTCTGGGCAAATCTCGTACACCCCAGCAGCATTTCCGCTATGAAGGGCCTCGACCACCACAGCAACTTCAGCAATTGTCATGGATCCGACTTCCCCAGCTGTTACCAGGGCTGCCTCCTGAAAGGAAGGCATTTACATCAATGCTATGCTACCCTTACTGAAAACAGCCTAGGCCACGTCCCGTCAATCCCTCCTCAGTCATCAG